GAAAAGAATCAGCCAATTAAAATATAATAGAGAAAAATTAGCCGGGCATGGTGCACATGCCTGTAGTCCCAGCTACTCGGGAGGCTGAGGCAGGAGATCACTTGAATACAGGAGTTTGAAGGTTGCTGTGACGAGGGCTGAACACAGCACTAGCGCAACAAGGAGAGGAGGACGGGGAGAAGAAGGAAGAAATAGAAAGAAAGAAAGGAAGGAAGGAAGGAAGGAAGTGGGAAGAAGCAAGGAAGGAAGGAAGAAAGAAAGAAAGAAGAAGAAGAGAAGAAAGAAAAAAGAAAGAAGAAAGAAAGAAAGAAACAAAGAAGAAATTGTCAGTTAATGCACAAGTTGAGGACCTGGACAACTTACATTTGCCCACAGTGAGTAAAGCTAATCAAAAGCAGCATGTACCAAATTAAACACGAAGATTAATGTTGCAGAAAAAAGCAAATTCTCGGACAGTATGAAAAGGAATCAGTAGTTTCTGGGTGACTTGTGTTGTAGTAAGAGGGAAACGGGTTTTTTCCTTTACCTGAAATCCCTCGACAAGACCCTTCTCAGTATGCTCCTACATGAGGAACACTTATTCCCCAAGAAAACATAAACCATCTCAGGAAAACCGTGGTGCTGCCTCCTTGTAGGGTGACCAGCTTTTAAGCATTCCCTTTTTTTTAAAAGTTATATTTTATTTATTAATTTTTGAGACAAAGTCTCAACATCTGTTGCGAGCTAGAGTGCCATGGTGTCCAGCCCCTAGCCTCCACAGCAACCGTCCACCATCCTGGGCTCACAAAGCGATCCTCCTGGCTCAGCCTCTGAAGTTAGCTTGGGACTTACACGCCATGCGCCACGGGATGCCTCGCTAATTTTTCTATATGTTTATTTCGCCAATTAATGTCCTTCTCCGCCTATTTTGTTTAGTAAGACGGGGCTGCAGGGCCTGGTCCAAATCCTGCGACCTCCAGCGATCCTCCCGCCTCAGCCTCCCAGAGTGCTAGGATTACAGGTGTGAGCCACTATGCCCAGCCTAAAAGTATATTTTATTAATGTGGGATATACCTACAAGGGAATATTACTTAGCCTTAAAAAGGAATGAAATTCTGACACATGCTACAACATGCACAACCTTGTGGACATTATGCCAAGTGAAATAAGCCAGACACACAAAAAGATAAATATTGTATAATTCCACTTATATGAGGTACTAGAGTATCTCATGCATAGAGACAGAAAATAGAATGGTGGCTGCCAGGGGCCGGGCAAACAGAGGGTTGGGGAAATGTTGTTTAATGGGTACAGAGTTTCAGCTTGGGAAGATGAAAAAGTTCTGTGAATGTACTTAATGCCACTAAACTGTATACTCAAAAATGGTTAAAATGGTAAGTTTTACGTTATATTTTGCCACATTAAAAGAATTTTTTTAAATGTATTGATTCTTTGGGTCTTTATAAAAATAAATTATTTTTAACAAATAAACTTTGCTTTGAACGAATTTTTATAAAAAAAAATCCAACCTTTCCATTTATTCTGTTTTCTGAGATTTGCTAATTAGTGGTGGGTTTCTTAACCACTTAATGGACCAAGTGTGTGGAGGCAAAGATACCCTTCTTCCACATTTGCTGCCTCAGTTTTGCTCTATTGCCTTGGTCTTCCTCATTTATTTCATTAGGGCTGTGGTCTGCTTTCCACACCCTCTGAAGTGTGCAACATGTTTAAGTTGTAATTCTTCCAGGAGAAGTTTCATTATGAACAAATGAAAAGTTTCATTATGAACAAAAGTTTCAAATGAACAGTTCCCCATATTCATTTAGTAAGAGATAAAAAATAAGCAGACCAAAGGAGGATGAATTCCTCTTTTAAAATTTTTCAAAGCACAGTGGAATTTTCATAGTTCTTTAAGATTTCCTTTGGTAACTTTCTTCTAATGTGTTGGATTCAGTTCTTAAATTTTAAATTCTGGATATTCCTTTACTCTTAACATTCAGCTATTCATTCTTCGCCTTCTATTACCACAAGTAAGACCTTTTCAGCTGTTTGCAAGACTACAAAAAATTTAAATGTTTTTATGTTTCCTCCCATTATTTTTTGTAATTATTCATTAATTCATTTTTTAATTCGATAAACAGTCTGTAAGCTTATACTATGTGCTTACTACTTCCTGTAAATTTGTCTTTCCAAACTAATCTACTCAGGCATGGGAATGAGAACAGTCAAGAAGTGATGGATTATCTGTATAAAGCAAAATGAATAATTCTTGGTTATTAGTCTCAGTAGAACAAAACTGATATCACCACTAATTCTTCCCTAACTTCACATGCCTT